ATCTTTTCTTCACGGACTGTAGGTACGCAGCTTGATGCTGAAACTGCTACCAAGCAACAGAACACACCTGAAAATTAAGCACTGCAAAACTGAGCCCAAGTTCCCCATGCTCCAAACATATTCACATTTCTATATATTTACTATATAGTTCTGTGATCTAAAATACTTGTAATTTAATATAAACAATTATATGAATAACTATAAAAGGATCGTCTACTTTCTTATATTGTATACAATCAAGTCTTGATGCCACATGCATTCAGGTTCCTGTGGTTTTGAATTAGTAATCATGCTAAAGTGGGTAGCAGTGTGTTTAATGTAGTTATTGGGGTTTGAAGTTAAAAGCAGCTTCAAAAATCTGCATTTTCCATTTTGAGTAAATCATACCAGTAGATAGGCTACCTCTTTGATACTGTTTATGACCTCACTGCTGCTACAGACCTAGCAGATGCCACCTGAAAAACAAGTATTTTTGTTCTTTAGAGACTCAGCTGAGAACAGCTGTTACATAACTGTATCCTCAACAAATAGAAAATATTTATTTTCTATAAATGGTTTGTCTAGAATCTGAAATCAAATATACCATGTTACATTCTTCAATAGATCATAAAATGAAATAATTTTCAAAAGCTGACATTGCAGTTTGGCATTATTGAAAAGAACAAGAGTTCATTTATTTAGTGTATGTTAGACTATTGTTTGTGGTAAGAGGTAAAAATCATGAGTCCCTATCACATAATGCCTTGATATCTGCATCAATAGTGTTAGTGATTATAGCTTATAGCTTAGTGTCAGAAGGAAAGTCAGGTCATTCTGAAAGATGAGAACTTATAGCCATTGTCTGTAAGATATCATACTACCAGAAGGGTACATTACGAAGATAAGAAAGGAAGCAAGGACGTGCACATATCTTAATTTTTTCTAAAAGTGAACGGCAGTCTTATACTACCACTGATTCCCAAAGGAATAATGGGTAGAATACGCTTGAAGTCTGACTCATTCTTTTTGTCAACAAGTATTTCAAACACATAAATCTTTTACAGGAATATGGAGTAAAATAAATTGAAAAAAAAAATGTTTAGAATTTCAGGTCTTGATCCTGAAAACACTAATATATGTGGCTATGTTTATGTATGTAAGCATTTTGATTTCAGCTGAAGCATGTACATCTAAGTGATTGAAGTACCAGCTCTCAAATATTAGAATTGGAAAAACCTCTGGCTCCATGTGATCCATCACTTCCATAAGTAGGATGTAGGCTTGTGGAAGATTAAACAGGTTATTTTTTATAAAACAACCAAATAATCTGGGAGTCTAAGTGTGATTTGAAAATCTGAATGGTAAGTATAAGACAACAGGAGGTAGACCCCATCTCACTAGACAGCACCTGAAAATTTTCACCAAGTTACATAATGCTTGGGAATTTAAAAAGACAAGGTTAAGCATCTACTGAACAATCTAATGTAGTGAAAAATCAATATCTGAGATTTAAAAGCACGAAAGTAAATATAAGGAGAAAAGTTGATAAGAATAGGTCACACTGAAGCTGAAAATCTAAAATGAAATATTTAATTAGAACTCTGATTTTGCTTTCAAGGTAGGTGGCATCGCACAGGCTATATTACAATCTTTTATAGTATTACCTTTTTTGCCAAAGAGAATACTGTTTATTTTTAACAGGCCACTTTAATATTAATACATGTGTAATAGGATCAGAACTGAAAATCAGCTAAAGATGGTAAATTTTACATTATTGGGAAAATTACAATTTGTTGTATTGTAAAAACATTTATTTTTAACAATTTACCTACATTAATCAAAAAAGTACAGCATATTTAATAATTTTACAAATTCTTCATAAAAAATATATCTCTGTACAAAAAATTCTTTTGCACCTACTTCATGTCACAGCAGCATGTAGTGAAATGGCAGAATGAAATACTGGGAATGAAAATTAGATTGACTTGATCATAATGCCAGCGTTCTTCCCCAAGCCCCCCACCCTCACCCTCCCCCCTCTTTTTTTTTTTTTTTAATAACAGCTTTTCTTTGTTTACAAAATATTTTACACCAGAAAAAAAATTATTGCAGCTAGCCTGGAGAAAGGCAAGATGTGTGATACAAGCAGCAGTTTTTAACAGCTTTGAAGCACATAACCTTTTTTTAAAAAAAAATATATAGCATGTATTATTAGCCCATCGTAATGATCTGGTCAACACTGGGGGTAAAGTCTTCTGCATATATCTCAGAAAGCAGATTTCCTGGCTGCCACTACCTGGCCTTTGCACAACATTTTAAGAGTCTTATTCTGATGAAACACCACATATAAGTGCATGCATACACAGCCCTCTCTAAAATAACTTCAGGAGAAAGAGATCCAACCTGAACAGAAGACTCAAATATAGTGGAGAAGGAGAGGCATCTGAAGGATGTCTATAGACTTCACAAAACTATGAGAGCTTTCCTTTACCTGGGTTCCAGTCTGAAGCTCCTGTTTATTCAATATTGCAAACAAACATCTTGGGATAATTTGCCAGTGTGCCCCAATTTTGAGTGTCCCTGATCAAGTAACACTCCCTTGGGATAAACATAACCTCCCCAAAATGAACGACTGGATAAAGTATTCACAGGATCTGGGCTCTCTAACACAAATGATCAAATAATTTAACTATTCTCTTTTCTGGGACCTTTCCTCCAACACATTTCTCCGTGGTGGTAGTGACACAGGTCACCAAAGAGTACACTGTAAGGGCAGAAGTGGAAAATATCGACAATAGCTACCTAGCTAGAATTTTGCTCTTGTTTTCAATAATCCAATTGTTTTCTGCCGTTGCCATTACAGAAAGACTTCCAAAGCAGCAATGCCGATTTTGAACACCTGTCAAAAACTTTAATCACACAACACCTTCCCTCCCTGGCCCATTGTTTCTAAGGAAGTTCTTCATTTGCAGAGCAACTTCCTCTACACGGGGGAGGATCAGGACAACACTGACCTGATGATTTTGTTCTTTCTCAGGAAATAAGAAGGGCTCTGAGATGTGAGAGATAAATGAAACTTCCTGCACAAAAACCTCAGAAACGAACAAAAAAGAAAGCCAAAAACTACTAACAAAATAAACAAGGAACTGACTGGAAAGGATTATTTATTAAATTTTCTTCAGAGTTTCTTACTCATAGGAAGAATATAACAGCTGGAGGCCCTACAATACTGTATTATATTGCTGGTATTTTCATCTAACAGATGTAGAGTTGTTATGCTGACCACGGGTTACCTTTGAAATTTTCTTTGCGTTCTGCAACATTAACTGCAAAACCTGTTACTGGGCTTACATTAACTTTTTGTTTTGTGTATAACAGCCAGACCTCCACACATATGGAGTTCAGAATCATTTTTTCTACAGTTTTTGATAGCAAGTAGACATTAGGACAGTTTGAAACTGAGAAAATGAAAACAAAACAACAAGAATAAAAAACAACCCTGAATTGTAAAGAAAAGCAAACCAATTTTCCTGGTTTCTGAGTTCAGCTTGTACAACTGAAATGAGATTTTGTTTCCTTATTTCCTGTAATTTCCTAATTTTAAAACTTGATTTAATAAATCTGCCCAATGGCATCTTTTATTTGTTTGTTTGTTTTCATTCAATAAAATCTCTAATTCTAAGCAAGTGTTAATGATTTACTCATTCATATTTACAAACGTCAAAGTTTCTTTGTCAATCTGTGTAAGTACAAAAGCAGCAAGCAGTGTGTTTAAGAAATGTGGAAAGAAACAGAAAGCAAAGATAGTTGAATATTTCTCTGTTCAAAGTAGAAATTGAATGACAGTTTTTTACAGACAATTTGCGCTGGGTTTACATATGCTACTGGAATGTGTTTTAGTTCCATGTAACATCAGAAAATGATGTCTTATTACAGGAAAAAATGGAAAAAAATGCAAAAGGGAAGACTGTATTATGAGCACAGGCTCACAGGCTTGATGAGCTATCTAAAATAAATTACTATTCACATTTGTACATGGCAAGCAGCAATAGCCGCTGACCCCCCTGCTGTTAAATAGTATGATACTGACAATGGTGACTGATGACTGATTTCAGAAGAAAACAATACTGACAATGAAAATTTCTTAGAAATGGGCTCTTGTTCTGGCTGAAACTCTCCAGTGACTTGTGATCATGTTTACCAAGAAATTTAGTCAAAAATTGACAAAAAAATACTGTCTTCCATCACACAAGATTTTAACTGGTGCTAAGCACGGGGCTCATAGTATTCCAAGAAAATTTATTGTGGAATGTTTTGCTTGGCAAAGAGTGAGTGAATGTCTATATACAATGGACAGCGTGTAGAAACCCTGTATATTTTTACCAGTACCTTACTCAGTCATCCATAATGCTCTAGTGCAAAAAAATTGTGCATTAACGTTTTGCAATATAACGGCTGATTGGGAAATTGGCAAACTGTCCTATGTATGAGATACACTGTAAGTTTCTTTAATTTTAGCAAGATTTCAATGGTAAAGCATTTGTAGGTGTATGCAACCTCAAGGAAGGTTGTCTTCTCCTTCAAGAGAGCTTTATTTCTTCAGAATATTCCTGGGGATAATCTGTGGTGCTATCATTTGTCACAGTACTCAAAGGATTTATCCAAGTGCCCAGAAGAATGCATTGAAAGGCATCCAGCCACATACAAATATGAAAGTCTGAGGCATTAAATTTGACAAATTGGCATGACTCGGCAGTCTTCCTTAAAGTGTGCCTTGATTTGAAGCAGACGCAGCCAGGCATTTTGATTCAGCTTTAAGATGAAAAAATATTCTTTGTCTGATCCCCAGAAGACTGACACATTTTTACCAGAAAATTTAGCTGCATGTAGGCTGACAGAAGATGTTAAAGATTACAGCAGCAAAGCCAAGAGAAGAAGGGAAACTGGTATATGGCACCAAAGGAATTACTGCTTGTCCATCAGAGGTATGGCTATGAATCAGTCATATTGGGCACTGAAGGCTATACCACTGTACAAACTGTGTTCAGAGTCGTATCAAATCTCACAGCCTTTGCCTCTGTGGGTTTTAAGTTTGTGTCATACATGGGATTTTCAAATGAAGCCTGTCCATTACTGTTTTCATGTCCAGCATACCCATTGTACTGTACTTTTGGTCTTGTTCTGGGAAAAAAAGACAGAAAATTATCATTAGTAACCCTTAAAAATAAATGTTCTACAATTATTGTAAGTTTTAGCTATAATGTTTCCATCCTGTCTACACAAATTGCACCACTGTCTAAAAGTGATAAAAGGAAAGCCATCAAGGATGTTGCAGAGACTTAAAAAATAAGAGAAATCTGTCTGGTAGTTATTTTTCATTGCATGAAGAGAAGAAAACAAATTCCCAATGGGCAAACTGATGCTACAAAGCACAGACACAATGCAAGCAAAATATAGGTATGCGTTTTCCATTATAAAAATGTCAAAAGAATGACAAGTTCATAGCTTGTTGTGCCATACTTGACAACTAAAATTAAAGCAACCTACAAAAAAAGTACAAACAAAAGTAACACTGGAACTGATAATGCTTATAATATGTTCTGCTAGTAGTAACAATTATCATATTTTCTGATGGCCTTTTCAGTTTTAGATTGCTAGTCTGACCATAAAAGAATCTTTACACAGAATGGAAACACTTATTCCAGTTTTACTGAAATAACGCCTTACCGATTTGCAAATATATCTCCTTATATTTTTAAACTACTGATATTAATGGCAAAAACACAGTAGCATCTTTAATTGTTGAATTTAATTTGATCACAATCTAGCACATTCCAATTGATTTTCCTGGAGATTTTGGATTTTACCCACACTCATTTTTGCAGGATACCTAGGAAGGCAACTGGACTCTCTGTGTAAATGTTCTGATGAAGATCAATACAAATTGTCAATTTAAAAGACTTGAATGGAGTAGATGACTAGGTGTACATGGAAAGATGAGAGTGAGTGGCTCCTAATTCATCCTTTCGACAGCATCTTTGGTTTTAGATGAGATAAACACCCACAGACTTTATTGACTTAGATGTTTTCGAGCAGAGTTAGAGGGAATGGTTTAGTAATTTGCTGCTATCAGCTGTTTATTATCATTCCAGAGCAGGAAATTAGCATTGCACCATTGAAGTGCTGTAACAGGTCTCCTGGGTACTACCAAACCTAAGTCAGTGAAAAGTCAGCCAGCATAGCCTCAGTCAGGTAACTCTTGCACTGACATAGCAATTGTACTGAATAGGTTGCACTGCTAGGGGTAGTAAACCTTCAGATAAGGGTCAACAGCTTCAGTTATTCCAGACAGACCTGCCGTAGCATGCCTACTTACCTCCATAAATACTTCCAGCAATAAGCACTACTAAATAACTTGACAGATTTTATATGTCCAAACATATGTAACGAGACTGATCAAATCCTAACTAATATTCAATATATAACTTTTGACTTTTGAATATCAAAAGATACAAAGAATTCTATTGCAGTAATGATTCTTCTATTTCAGATAGTATTTTACCACCATGAAGAACATATCAAAACTTCAAGGCTGTTCACATTTTTATGGAAAGTTCTATTAGAACATATGGAGGCAATAAATGAAAAATAAAACAGAACTGTGCAGACTTTCTGATACATCCCATGAAATGATATCCTATTCGATGATATTTTATTACTTTAATCTTAAATCTCTTAGTATCTAAAAGTACCTAAACAAACATATGAAGGGGGAGTCAGTATATAATTATATAATTCTGTACATGTAATAGGGCAAGAAAGTGAATGAAGGAGTGTAAAATGTAGATGCTTGGTGCTTAATACATGTAAAACAATTTAGAAAAGAATCTTATGATAAACTTTCGAAAGGAGTTCTTGAAAATCAGACTCTAGTAGAAAACAATTCTGCTTAGGGTAGCAGATAGGGACAACTATCACAGAAAAGATGTCAGTAAATGGAAACTGACAAACTGCAAATAATTCTGTTGCTCATAAATATGTCTTTTTCTGCTTATTTTTATTTGCAAGTAATAAAACTTGCTTCGAAATCTTAACTGGGAGCTTTCCTAAGTGTAAGTAATTAAATATATTTTAATTGTATTCAGAAAGACTGAGAAGCTGTCTTCATTCCTGAAGCAATCCCTATCTGCCAGACAAAAACGTACAGAAAATGTGTAAAAAGGGCTTAACAAACCTAGTTCTAATTAGATGATATTAATCTGACATTGGTACAGCAGAAACATCCATAAAATTGTCCCCTAAGACGATCTTCAAATTCTCTGGTATAGAGAACCTCCAGGGACATAACTACTATCGCATCATTGTGAAAATTTCATGTTGTTATTCTGATCATTAAGGTAATTTCGAGAAAGTCCCTTCAAAAGTCACAGATTCTGTTTTCTTTCCTTTGGAACATCCTTCATTTTGAAGAGAATAAAGGTGACCTAAAGTTACTTTACATCAGTAATCAATTTCTTAATTTTCTGATGACAGTATGTCACTGATAACTCCTCTAAAACCTGTGGTTTAATGGAAGAAATTGTCTGAAAATATAAAAAAAGGAAAACTATTCTTTGAAAGATTAAGTTATGAGTAACATCTCCTTTTTTAAGTGTCTAATGCATTTAAATGAGATTAAGGTAGGCAGAACTGCAGTGCTGCACCAGCACAGAATCACAGAATAGTAGGGATTGGAAGGGACCTCTGTGGGTCATCTAGTCCAAACCCCCCACCGAAGCAGGGTCACCTACAGCAGGCTACACAGGACCTTGTCCAGGCGGGTCTTGAATATCTCTAGAGAAGGAGACTCCACAACCTCCCTGGGAAGCCTGTTCCAGTGCTCCGTCACACTCAGAGGGAAGAAATTCTTCCTCATGTTCAGACAGAACTTCCTATGCTTCAGTTTGTGCCTATTGCCCCTTGTCCTGTCACTGGGCAACTGGGATTATACCTGCTTGTCTGAAGACAAAGTTTTATGGCTCTTAAATATGTATATATTTATACTAAAGAGAAAACAGAATCTCTACTGCTTGTGTTGGAAACAACAAACTTCACAGAATAAATCACAAAATGTACCCCTCTGTCACAATACAGTTTTATTATTTCTTTCTTAGTTAGTCTCCTCTTCCTAAGAGTAAAGTGACAGCAATATTTCCTTTACATTCCATCTCTTCACCCGATCTGAATGCCTCTGCTTTCATGCTACTGTTTAGGTTCCCCTCATTGGAGAATAGGACAGATCTGCAAATGCAGATCTGTATGCATCAGAAAGGCATCTTACAATAACTTGTTCTTGGACAGAGCTCACAGTTCTTTCTGAGCAGTTTTTTCAACAAAAATTTTAAGAGCAGATTACTAAAAATCAGCTTATCTGTTAAACATCATTTTGCAAACTGCAAATAACACAAGGAGGTTACATAGTATTGTATCTCGAAACAAAAAAATACGAATTGTTCCAGAAAGCTCTAGCCAGACAGCACCGAGAATGAACAGATGTTCAAAAGATACATAGACAACAGTTTTTCAGCCAAATTTCAGACAAGATCGTTGGATTTATTCTATTATCCAATGACATATAAAAGTTTCATATGAGCTGAAGTGATGCCAATTCTAGTAGTATCCACTAGCTTATTCAGCATGTAGTCATTATGGGTTGTTCCCTCATGGGATTTATGGATTTTTCAGCTTGTATAATTAATACTCATAAGCATTTTGAAAGACGCAGCATACACTCAATTTAATATAGCATTAAAATGAAGCATAAAACCTGTGACCTGAGTTTTGACTCTGATTCAGCCTAACAAATCAAGAAGGTTGATAGGTCTTTGCTCCTTAACACAGTGACTTATTTTTCTAACTGTTCACCATTAAGATCTGCCCTGCACTGAACTCCTTCATGGGAATACTTAGAAATATCTGTCTTTCCAGAGTAAAGATATTCTTGAAAGCTTTAGCATTGTCTTCTCTATTTACACTTACCTATAAAAATTACAACAAAAAGCTTCTTAAGTTACTGAATAAATAGCATTTACAATACCTGTGTTTGTAGAGGTAAAATGCAAACCCTGATAATATTAGAGCAAAGAATGGTACCAGGATTGCAGCTGCAACAGAACTGCTGTTTGTACCATAATAGTGATTTGAAAGGTCTGTGTCTGCACTTAAAGGACCTGAAATGAAACAAAAAGGGCAGAAATAAATTTCCCAGGTTTTCAATCTCACAGTTCTCTTTTTATTCAAGAATGAAAGAAAAAGATGTCCTGATAAAATAATTCTATTTAAAAACATGAAATAGATAGCATGCAGTATCATAGTATAAATCTTGTTAATACCACTTAATAACGTATCAGTAACTACCACAATGATTTGAAAAAAATATTCAGCAAGTACAATAATTACAAACTGTCACGAGTCACTAATTTAATAAAGTTAAGCCATATATCTTCTGCCAAAAAATATTAATACTGCAAAATGTATTCTATGCCTGCAGTCTTAATATTCAGCTTAGAAACAACGCGAGACCACATCAAACATGAAAAAGGAAGAGAAAACTGTGGTAACTGCAATAAACCACAATGCTTGGCTCAATAGCACTCCCAAGTCTGTGTACCTGTGTGCATGTCCTGGTTACTTTACAACCCCCTTTTAGGGGTGAGACTTGAGCGTGTTTTAGAGCCTCTGGCAGCTGTGTTTGCACTGGGATAAAACCAAGGTGCACAGAATGCAAAGGCAGTCACCTGTGGCATGGTCTCACTGGGTTCCTGCTGTCTTTGGATAGCGTTATCATGATGAGAAATGGGAAAGTCTATTGTACTGCTCTAATTTAGAGAGAGATAAGTGGAAATATCTAGATGCTAATAGATGAAAAAATAAAAAGAATGGAAAAGATAGACAGTTTGGTTTACTTTTGTATTGCGTTTGTGTCACAAGGTTTTGGTAGTGGGAGGGGACTACAGGGCTGGCTGCTGTGAGAAGCTGCTATCAGCTTCCCCTGTGTCCAACAGAGCTAATACCAGGCGGCTCCAAGATGGACCCGTTGTGTCCGAGGCTGAGCCCATCACTGGGGGTGGTGGTGTCTGTGTGATAACATATTTAAGAAGAGGAAAAGACCTGCAATGGGATAGAGGAGTGAGAATATGTGGGAGAAACAACTCTGCAGACATGAAGGTCAATAAAGAAGGAGAGGGAGGACGTGCTCCAGGTGCCAGAGTAGAGAATCCCCTGCTGCTCATGGTGAAGACCATGGTGAGGCAGGCTGTCTCCCTGCAGCCCATGAACGTCCATGGTGGAGCAGATATCCACCTGCAACCCATGGAGGACCCCACACCAGAGCAGGCAGACACACCCAAAGGAGTCTGTGACCCTGTGGAGAGCCCACACTGGAGCAGACTTCTGGCACGACCTGTAGACCCATGGAGAGAGGAGCCCATGCTTGACCAGGATTGCTGGAAGGACCTCAAATACTGTGTTCAGCTTCTATTCAAACTGTAGTAGTTTATGTGAATACTGTGCACCTCGAATATTGTGTTCAGTTTTGGGCCCTCACTACAAGAAAGACACAAAGGTGCCAGACCGTGTCCAGAGAAGGGCAACAAGGATGGTGAAGGGTCTAGAGAACAAGTCTTATGAGGAGCAGCTGAGAGAACTGGGGTTGTTTAATCTGGAGAAGAGGAGCCTGGGGAGAGACCTTATTGCTCTCTACAACTACCTGAAAGGAGGTTGTAGTGAGGGTGGGTGTTGGTCTCTTCTCCCAAGTAACTAGCGATACGATGAGAGGCAATGGCCTGAAGTTGTGCCAGGGGAGGGTTAGATTGGATATCTTTCTTTACTGAAAGAGTGGTCAGGCATTGGACCAGGCTGCCCAGGGAAGTGGCGGAGTCACCTTCCCTAGAGTGTTCAAGTGTGTAGATATGGCAGTTCAGGACTTGATTTAGTAGGCATGGTGGTGTTGGATTGATGGTTGGACTTGATTATCTTAATAGTCTTTTCCAACCTTTATGATTCTATGATTCTATATGACTTGTGACCCTGCAGGGACCCACGCTGGAGCAGTCTGCTCCTGACGGACTGTACCTGGTGGAAGGGAGTCACGCTGGAATAGTTCATGAAGAACTGCAGCCTGTGGGAAGGACCCACATTGGACAAGTTCATGGAGGATTGTATCCCACAAGTAGGACCCCATGCTGGAGCAGAGGAAGACTGTGAGAAGGAAGGAGCGGCAGAGACAAGGTGTGATGAACTGACCACAAGTCCCATTGCCCGTCCCTCTGCCTTGCTTGGAGGGAGAAGGTGGAGAAAAATTTGAAGTGAAGTTGAGCCTGGGAAGCAGGGAGGGGTGGGGGGAAAGCTTTTTAAGACTTGGTTTTATTTCTCATTACCCTTCTCTGATTTTATTTGGTAATAAATTGAATTAATTTTCCCAAATTTGAGTCTGTTTTGCCCATGATGGCAATTGGTAAGTGATCTCTCCTTGTCCTCATTTCGACTCATGAGTCTTTTGTTATATTTTCTTTTCTCTGTCCAGATGAAAAGAAGCAGTGAGAGAGTAGCTCTGGTGGGCACCTGGCATCCAGCCAGGGTCAACTCACCACAACTTACCATTAAAAAACCCATACTCTGTCACTAGGAAATATGTCATTTAATAGAGGAATATTCAGTAAGATTATAAATGATTTTTTAAACATTTCACAGAACAACTGACATTTCTTTAGCCCCCTAAAACCAGCAACAGTCAGGTGAAGCTCAAATTCTGATAATACACAGTGAAGTCATTATTGCTTAAGCTGTGTACTTCTACCCTTTAGATGGTTACTGAGATTTCTCCCTTTATAAGTACTAGAAAAAAATAGTTTTTGTAAGAAAAAAATCATTAAGAACATTTCCTTATAATTGTTTGGAGTTTTCAAAAGCATTTCCCCTGTAACTCCTAGCCCAGGGTTTCAACTCTCTGGTATCAGCACAGCATGGCTCAGTTTTACTAAGAGAACTCCTGTTGAAGTGTGAGAAAGTGTGACAGTGAAAGCCATGCAAGACAAGAAAAGTAAAATGACAGGTAAGAGAGTAATTTCTGAGACAAGAATGGTTAACAGCTCAAGGATTTAAGAGAACAAATAATGACAGGGAAAGCAAGTCAGCTTCCAAGAAGCAACAGGCTGGACCTTCACCTCACTGATAGCTACTGGATCGCAAAGAGTCTTTGAGTACCTCATTGGGTGTGAGGACTGTATGAATATATAGTCCTACAGCTCATTAGTCCTAGCTATCTGTTTGTGCATTAGCTAACACACAACCTTTTCCTACTCTGAAGCTGTGAGTATCCTGTTTAGATGTAGAGTTTCTTCGTGAATGACGAAAGTTACATGAAAAGATCTGGAGAGGAAGGATGACACCTTTATAGAGATAAATTTAAAATTCACACGTCTTGTGCTGTCCAATGCTTTTAAGAACTGATCAATTTTAAGAAACGAACACGTATTTCACAGCCATTGATCCAATATATCACAGACACAAATAAATTATTCAAATTTCATATATTGTCAGTATTTGTTATCTCAATCAAGGCAAGCTAAAAAAGTACTTTGAAGAAAAAAAGGAAAGAGAAGTGGGTCATTGTATTTCCCTAGAGGAAATAAATATAGGAATATAAACATTTGGTGAAGTAGGTTTCTCTCACAAAGTCATGCTTTCATACAATTTATGAAGGACACTCCAGATTGGAATAAACAAAGCCAAGATTTTAGAGTAAATATCTTCTAGAACTGTACTGGTGAGGCAAAGGCACTCAGCAGTTACAGAAATTGAACCTAGCTGCAGACTTGCAGCCTTTACAGACCAAGATATTAAAACATAGCGAAACAAACAAAAAGCCCCCAAAGTGACTGATTATTTGGCATAACAGGTGAAATAATTTGGTGTCACAACTTGGGCCCCATCATCAGGCTCAGATACAGATCTAAGTCTTTTGGCAGACTGATAACAGATATCTCTTTGCCCTTTGGATTATTCTCTATGGCTGCAAGCAAACAGAATTGCTTCTGCAAGAGGATACACAGTATTTAGAAACAAAATTTATTTCTGTTTTCATGTCATTAAGTTCCAAGACTGGGCACACCCGCTTAGCCTGGTCCTTCTCCAGTATTGTGTGATAGGGAATTGTTCATTAAATAGATCGGTCTTTCACTCTTAACCAAGTATTTCTCAGTAAATGCTGTTCTTTGAAGTATGCTTTCAGGTGAATAATTTCATATTACATTATGTACATTACATTACGTATGTACCAGTGCATGCATAGTTTAGGCATACTTCTGGCTTAATATAAAGTCATAAAAAATTTAAGTTCCTGAAGAAATGGAAATGTGTTAAGTCTTCAGTTGGAGGATATATGAGGTCATTACCTTAGCAGAATATTCATGAGCAGAATAGATTTAAAAAACAGAGCAATTTATCCTTGAATATGAGAGGGTGTGAACAAATACTATGACCTGTGTTGGCTGCAAATTTGCTGTTTCCTTTTAGCAATAGATTCTACAATAGTGAACAAGCAACCTATAGACAATCAGTGCCTATTTAACAATCACATAAAGAAATCTTCTAAGAGAGACAGTATCAGCATTTATAGCAAGCTCTCTGCTAAGATGTTAAAGCTGCAGATGAGAGGCCCTCAGCCTGGGAATTGCATGTGTAACTTGAATACTTTGACTCCTTACTAGCCTTGGGAATATACAAACTAAGCTTTCATATTGCAACTCTGAACGATGATACGACGTTTTCCACTACCACAGAATACATCTACTGGAGAATGCTGTAACTGATGAATTGCCATTCTGTTTGTCCTTCATTTAACCCCATGAGTTATTCCTTTCACTGCTAAAACACAAACTTTTATTAGGTAGCTGGCAAACCACAGGTACCTTTTTTGGTTAGGTTTAAGAAAAAAAACCATAAAACCACACATACCCCCTCAAATAAAACCAACAAACCATACTCTTACTGTTTTGAGATAACAAAGGCTGCTAAACAAGACTGATGTTTGAACAAATCTTGATGTTTTACTTTTATAGTGTGCTTGTTAAAAACAGAAAGAAAAAGCAGCTTAGATATTACAGTGATACAGATTACACGGAAGTACAGGCAGACAAATAATCTGTCCCACACAACAGTTCACTCTGAAGACTGAAACTGTATTTGGCTTCAGCAATTGGCAGTTCTTAGGCTGAGACTCTGAAGAGTAAGATTTCCTTCTCCTTCTGACTAAATTTATATAGCAATTTGAGAGATGGCCAGATGAGCAAATCCATAGGATAACTGCTGTTACAGCAGCTAATAGGGAAAAGAAGTACAAGGGAGATTTGGCAGAACGTTAAAGGGCATTGGGTGCAGCATCAATGAAGTTAATGGAAACAAGGCAATTTATAAAATGTAGCTATAGTCTGCTGTAGATATATTGGCTAGGTTGTCTCCTTCTCCTAGCCCAGTACTTTGCTGTATATATACCATGCTTCAACCACTCTGCAGTAGTTCCAGGGTCAGGAAATGCAGTTGTCTACACTTGGTATTTGTAAAACCTATTTTACGAGTAAATATTCCATGTGTAAACATTTTATTAGTTTTTATGACAGGATTATTTTATGAGTAAAATAACTAGCTTTTTACCAGCTGCTGGAGCACTTGAGTCCATAGGTGTAACATATATATCAGTCACTCTTTGAATTTTTTTTACAGTGAAGAAGAATTCTAGTAAATACACACACATTCTGAAAACATCCACCAGCAACAAGCACTCTCCAAACGACACTGTTAAAATCAGTGTTGATACTGTCCTTTCAATTTCCTATATGATTCTGACTGCAATTTAAACATTTGAACAGAAAATGACTTTGCATTGCATGACACTCCCGTTCCTTTCAAAAAGACATTCACAGGAAAGCAAGCAGTTGCAATGGCATTCTCTTTAAGAGCACCCTGTAGTCGTCTTACTAGGTTGTTATACTAGAACACATGAGGTAGTAATACGTTAGGCAAACTAAAATTGGAATTTGAACTGTATATGTCAAATATGCATATTTCACTATATTTTTTATACTAGCAATGGCATGAAATAAACTTGTTTACTTCAGCTAGATAGCTGAGTCATTTGTTGAATTCACTCTTGCAAGGCCCAAAAAGATTGTACATATTAAAGCTCTATGAATGCATTTACCTTGTCTTTGGAGCATAAACTTTCCAAAATCTTTTCCATGTATATCACCTTGATAAGTAAAAACACCTCTTTCAAGCCCTGATGATACCTAGCATATGTTGAAACAGAAAAAAGATTTCTCAATTTCTGACTTAGAGTAGATATATTGAGCACAGATTTTAACTTTTGTCCTTTTAAATATTAATGAACTCTCTATGCTTATACAATATTTATCATTTTAAGTTTGCAACAGTATTAAACAAAGTTTCAAAATAACACCTGGAATTACTTTAAAATATCTATCTGCTGGGTTTTAATATTCTTCAACTGGCATACACATAATTGAATTAGTATATGGACATAGAAGTCACTGAAATGTCAAATTTTAAATTATTGTCCACAGAAAGCATCATGATGCATAAAGGACAACTGAAAAGAGTAAAATATTTCTCTTTCTTGAAGACTAAATGTAATTTTATTATTATTAATTTATTTTATTATTATTTACCAAACCCTAAGAGCACTATATTTCTAACGGTAAAATTCCCACTCTTCTCTAAGAAAACAGGGCAAAAACATGGCAAAATATGCTGAGTCACTCCACTTACCCCTTAGTAAACTAAAAATTCTAATGGGAATGCGACAAATAGAAGTTTGTATACTTATTTTTGAAAGTAAATATAATGTGATCTCCACACTGACATCTAGAGTGCTGTATTCCGTACTTGTAATATAAAAAGATGGATAGATTTATGTAGGAAATCACAAATTACTTCAAACTTCAAATTCAGCAAGCCTTATCCATAGCAGTCTGGTTACTTACATAACCATCTAGTGCCCAATTGTCGTTTTCAAACTTGCTTACAAAAATGTCACTAGGTCCTTTAATCTGAAAAACTTTCAAGAGCAAATGGGCTTCTTCTTTCTTGTAAACACCTATTAACATAAAGAAGATAACATATGCCTTTTAAACAATTTTTCAACAAGTTTGTTCAAATATCCTTTCAATGCTAGGTATATTACTTTAGAAGGAAAATATTTAATAGAAAACTTTCTGTAATAATAGAATTTTGTAACCTGGAAAAAACAAGCTTTAAAGTGCTGTTATAACAAGATCTTATTTTACTAATTTTGCCCACATCATATTTGATAACAGGATGCAATGATGGTTTTGTATTGTTTAATCTTCTATGTAAATGGGCAAGAATAATTGTCTTTTCATAGAGTATTTCAATAATTGTGAATACAGATAGAATTCCTTGCCTGGAATTTCCTTGAACTTGAAAAAATGGGATTTTACTTACATCACAACAGTATATTGCTATAGTAAATATTGCTAGGGCAGTGAAAGAAAAATACCAGTTTGGCAGCCAACTACTGATATTCTTTCTGAACTCTTGACCTTAAAAGGTACTGATAGCTCATAAAGCTCTTTTCAAATATAACTGTGATCAGAGGCTAAATCAGAACTTCACATTCAGATTTGCAGCAAGGAATGCACAATCTTGATTAAAAGGTATACTTAATTTAAAAAGTCATTTAATTATCTGTGCCTGTTCTGTGTTATGCCTTTATCAAGATCATATTGTTTTAAGGTAGATATTAATCACTATTTAATAACAGAGCTATATCCACTTTGTCTGCCCCTTCAGTCTTAGGTGTGAGTTCAACACATCAATACTATTTGACAGTCCAAGATGAAAAAATCCTACCTCCATATTTATTTGAAATGCAAGGGGAAAATAGATGGGTGGCAGCAAGCAAATTGACTGAAATCTGTGTGGACCATTACATTAGTACCTTTCCTTTTGCAGAGTAAGCACAAAAATATTTTTAGTGAAAACATAAAGTTTTTATTTCATTTTATGCTTGGTAGAAAACACAACAAAAATGAACAGATGAAAATAATTAAAAGAATAGCTTTTATAACACCAGAATCTGAACCTACCTGATAGTTTGAGTTGTATGTTGGAGGCCTCAATGAATGTAGCATTCACTTTGCTGCTTGTAGTATTGAACCAATCAACTGTCAGAGTAGCAGGCTGCCTTTTTCCTAAATATTCATAAAACCCTTTCCACAGTGAATTTATAAAAAAGACATCTGAGGGAACTAAATAAAAGTGTGCAAAAAAAGAAGCAAAGAAAGGAGTAAACTACAACAAAGAAGCAATCTTTCTAGACATACTCGTTCTTCATTTTTTCTGTTACAGCATCACTCCACTTTTCTAAGGAGGTATTATAGTAAAAATTTTACAACAGAAAGACAATATATCTAATGACCTTTCCACACAATTGCCTATAATCTACTACACCTGTCCATTACAATATATGTTCTTAAATAACCTCACACTTCATAGCTTTTGTGTGGTTCAGTGAATGTCCCCAGGACTATGAAAAGTAATGGACTCTTCCCCCAAAACCCTGTAGATTTAAGGTACGATGAAAAAAGGGGAATAATACTTTGAAGGCAGGGATTCCTGGAAGGAGGCACTGTTTTAGGCCATCCGTTTTGTTTCATGAATCTATTAAAGCATCACTGTGTGTGATTTTCAACTGAATATCAAGTGAATATTCAGCTGAATTCATTGATTTCCAGATACAATTTAGCACAAGTCATCAGTCATTTATCAGTCATTTTTAGATTCCACATCTTTTCTCCATACAATATTACTGCACCTGTGAACAATGAAGTTGCCAGAGCAGGGAACATTTTTGGTTTCAAATGAGGGTCTGTTTCTCAGAAATTACAGTTTGAATAATCTGAAGTAAAAAAACTATAAAATAAAGCATGGATTATAGGAAGAAGTGTATGTATTTCACTCATTTATTTGAAGTTATTGCTATTTTTCCTCTATACAGAAAAAATAAATTATCTACAGGTCATTAAATTTTGTATTTTAAATATCTGGCTAATTGCTGACAGAGTAGAAAAAAAATGTCTCTTATTCCACAGTATCTTCAATATTAACTTTAATTTAAAAGGAAACACAGAAGAGAAAAAAATTCTTAGAAGAGATGCTCATTTTCTTTCAGATAAATCTGGTGAAGACTTCCTTCAAACATGATGGCTAAGATAAACAAACCATTAGGTTGGCCAAAAGAGACCAGCCCTCCTCCTGGCTAGGGAACACCTAGTGTTTCATGGCAGTTTCTGACAAATTAAAACAGTCATTTTTCCACTTTGTTCTAAGATTTTTCTAGCATTACTATCTGAGAAGTAAAGCTTTAAGAATCAAAGTAAAACTCCATAAAAAGAACTGTTTAACCAATCATGATATCTTGACAAACTGAAGCCCTAGCAACTACTAAAATTCACCCTTATTATCCAGGACCACTACAAATGAAAATTGCTAACTAGGTAAAGACTAGTACCAGAAGAGTGTTCCACACTCTTCTAACTGAACTCTTTACTATTGAATTTTTTGCATTTTATCAAATTCTTAGCATGTGTAAAGGCAGCTGTCTATATTGAAGGAAATTTATCAGTGTAGGTATCCTCTGTATCCATTTTGAATAAAATCCAAGGATACTTCCTCCTCCACCTAATCACTGACCACAAAAATTAATCAAAAAGAATTTCAGGTCAATAATACTATATATTTCCAACAAAAAATATTGATAGGCAGTACATCTGAAAATCTGATGACTGATTAGCTGTTGACTGTTTCTTAATCATATTATTACACTTCCTAGTACGCATTTCATAAAAAGGAGGAATAACAACTTCTTCAGTGCCTTTTGCCTTCAAATTCTGCAAAAGCCACAAGTAAATGTTCAAGCTCAGAGTGGCATGATTTGAAAACATCATTAGTATGTTGTCTGTACTACAACTGGATTCTGAATCAGTGGAGACCCACTACACAGCTTTGAGTACAACAACTTCAGAGAATCCTAAGTACTCCCCTTCCAACCCAAAACTCAGTGCAGGTTGGGGCTTTACACAAGGCAACTTCAACTTAATACTGAAAATCTGAAGCACTAAATTTCAATTGGTATCTCACTGTCCTCAGAATTCATACAATTTCTGCAAATATATGAATTCTGTAAAGAGTCTTCCAGACTTTTTCCTATGTATTTCTCATTGCTTTGCTACAATAGTGACACACAGTAAATCTGAAAAATGGCATTTAAAAAATGTTAAAATTATTTTTCTTTGCCTTTGCTTTTAATTAAAATCATATGCCTGAAGTTATTCTCATGAAGGTGAACATCTGGTATTGCTGGTACAAACCTGACAGGCACTATGTAAGACTTCTATAAAAGAGCAGACACGATGCTTGCTTTGTCATATTCAACATCTTCAGTATCTAGTTTCTCTAACCATTCTGTCAATAAAAGCTGTTAATCTTTGCAAAATAGTGCAGCTGACCCAGTATTTACAAAATTTGCACTTGCTGCAGATGGACAGAATGAGTAAGGGAAGAAAACAGCAAAATATATTTCTGCTTTCCCAGTCATGTTTTTGTAATAGGTTAAAATGCAAGTGCTGCAGCCCCATGGATGCTGCTGAGGAACTGGAGCAGCTATCACTGAATTGTGCCGAGCCCTTGCAATCTCCCTGCAGATTCTCCTCAGAAAGTGACAAATGGGGAAATCCATGGCTACTCACTAAACCAGCTTCCTAACTGGTTTTTCAAAGGCTGTACAAAGCAGTGAGAACCATGGGAACCAAACCCCTTGTTTTAGTTCTTAAGCTTCACATGAGCATTGTGAGAATTCTTTAGCTGCAACTTATACTCTATCACAATTTACAGTACTGTGAAAACAATAGTTACTATTGCTTCTGAAAACATAAACTTTGGGGAAAAGTAGCAATTTAATAAACAATAATAAACATAATTTGCATTCAGATATCTAAAGTTGGGAAATCAGAACATGAATCTATCCTGTTACAAAACCTCTAGTTTAGCTTCATTCCATTTAAAATACAGATAGCAGCAAATGGAATTCTAGTAAAAGCCAAGACAACAAGGTAAAGAGAAAGCTCCAAAATACATAGTGTTCTATACTAAAGAGAATTCACAATTTTAAAACACATAATAATAGTGCAGACTTGGTTTTTAAAAACAGCTTAAAAATTTTCCTTGTTAATTACTGTCATTTGTCACACTTTTTCAGTTCTCTGCTTACCATCATTGGAATTTTCAATCATAACATTTCATTTTAAAAAAATATCTTTCAAATAGTACGTACTTAGCAAAACTAGTTACAAGGGTTGATCCTGATGCTCTACATAGTGAATATATCTGGAGACTTGGTCTATGTTTTTATGTGGCTTTGAAACTTCAAAATCTGTGTGGTAGCAGATTAATGCATACCTGAGGTGTTAGGTGAGGTGAATCATCCAGTAAATGAAGACTGTATATTAATTATAATGAATGCACACTATATTCTGCTTTATTGTGAGTCTGTAGAAGCAATGCATTTAGAAGAATGCATTTAGGGTTTCACCTGACACTGTCACTAATAAACTCACCAGGAAGATAAATTCTTAGCAGAAATACCTTTTTATCCTATCTACTCTAGAGAGTCCTTCTGTGAACTGCCATGAGCATGAACCATTAATCTTATTTTCCCTGCAGCTTGCTAAAATTCAGAATATGGAGTTGCAAGCTCATTTATTTGGTGAGAACTCTGCTCATTGTTAAGTAAGTAAAAAAATTAGGCCTTTCATTTTCTGAAAGTGATTGAACCTAGAAAGATCTACATCAAGGATTTCTCAGGTGTATTCGTTTATTTTGTCACTGGCAGGAGGAAAAGGTTAACTGCACACATGTTCCTGAGGAGGTACAGAAAAGTAGCAGTAATGTTTGCCTGGTACTGGTGGTCCACACAGTTTAGGAAACCCTACCTTAGGGTACCTTGAGAGTTTCCATGAAATGAAGGCCATCAAAATTTCCAAAATTGTTTTTGAGGAGGTTTTTTTTGTGGTTTCTTACAACCCTTGCAATGTAAAGAGCAGGACTTCAACTGAACCCAGTCCCTGCAATTATAGTCTACACTTGTTATAAGGCTCTCCATTATAGCAATCTCTCTGATATAAATCTACATCGAATCTCGGTTTTGTGTATATCTGCTTTATCTTTTTGCCTTGACAGGGTTTTTTGTGCAATTCATAGAATTGGTACTGTAGAAACTAAAAAAATGTTTAGGAAAGAATTTTATAGAATAGATTTTACATGACACCTGTTAGTAGGAAATACCTCAACATTTATATTGCTTTGAAGTAATAAATACTTAAATTAAATATTGAAAATAGTTTTATTATCTATAACAATCTAGGGTGTAAATCAATTTAATTTATTTAGATCTAAAACTCTTCTTGTATACAAACCTGGAGTTTTAGTTATTGTTTCATTAACTTCTCTCACTCCTTTACCTACAAGTAAAAAGACAAATTATCATTTTAATGAACATTTTCTTTTTAATAGAATGTTAAAACAATACCTAATGGATGCAATCATCTCTTATCCAGTAGAGCCACATTTGAAACAGATATAACTAGTCTTGAATACTTTACATGTTCAAACCTATACATTTACACAAAATTATCAGAAAATAATTTAGGTAAATAACATTTATACTGTGGAAAGTTGTCTGGCTAGATAAGTATTTCATACATTTAGGTCTAAAACTTTTATATCAGTCCCAGTGCTATAAAAGAGAGCCTTATAGAGGGGACACATACTATATCTAATTTTGAATAGTATACTAAATATGGTAAAAATTGTGTTAATAAGGATTGATACTTTTGTGACACAAACCATCAAAAGCCAGATAGCTGGATTAAGATGACAGGATCAGATATCATGGGAAAGGGTCACAACTGATGTCATTTGCTGTGTTTCTGGTACACTTGCCAGAGTTATGTCCATTAACCCTAGATCAAGTTGTGGGCTTTAAAAAGGCTAATGTCACAAAGGAAGGCTTGGTCTTGCATGTTTTTTATCTTTAGGAGCAGAAATTCACTGAGTAGACTGATAAAGTACTAAGAAAGCACAAAAAGCGTGGGACACTCAAGGATAATTACACCTAAAGACTGTAAGTCAATTAAAAAAAAGAAATCTTGTCTTTAGAAATCTTTTCTGTATTTTATCTTTAATTTAAAGAAAAAGTAAAATTTACAAGAAACATACAAGATTGTTTATCTCAAATTACTAATTATACAGTACCTATCAAAAATCACCCCTTAGGGAACTAGAACAAGAAGATGAATTTTTATATGTAGATCATATGTCTTCACAATGTTGAAACAAAGAAGTCTAACCATACATTAATGAAAAATCAAATATTGTTCAAACATCAAATCTATTTAGTGTTCTTAGACATATTAGAATTAAAACTCAACTTGCAAACATCTTTCCCACAGCATCTGACTATTTTTCCTTTATTCATATTCTAAATAGAATTTTGTTTTATTTTTCTGAATTGGGAACTTATAGCCTTATTTATTTGCATGTGAAGAGCCCTCATAACTATATACTTAGAGTTACTCTAGCAAAAGTATATGAAATTTACACGGATATAAAAAAAGTGGAATCTGGTGCAAAGATGTGTTTATTTTTTCATTTTATAGTTCATTTTTATTTTAGAAGATTTTTGTAGACAAAAAGCATATCTGAATGAATCTAAAAGCCAAACTACGAAATGTATCTTCTTTCGTTCCTTACAGTAAATCATATATTAAACTCTGAGTACACTGAAATACTCCTTAAAACTGTGATATAAAGATAAATAGAGTCAAAAATAATACTTTATTTTATTTTGGGGCTTTTTGCTGTTTTTAGGGTTAAACTTATGTATGTGTGCCTGTGCATTCACACACACATATCCCCATGTTTTCCTCCATGAGTTCTGGATGCTATACTCACTTTGATTTTTTTACTGTTTCTTTCATGAAGTAGAAGCTGTTCTGTCATATGCATCTTTAAACAGTAAATGGAAAAAAAAAAACCTAATATATAAAATAACGATGTCAGGGAAAATGAAATCAAACCAACTAGGGTCCAACATATCACTTGAGTAATGACTTACTTTTACAAACAGGTGATTTTCCTGTCCATTTCATATCTGGTTTACATGTCCGATGCTCTGATCCACCAGCAAGAAAAAATCCTGGCTGACAGGTATACACCAAAGTATACCCTAAAGTAGGAAGATCTATCGCTTTCACATCTACATGTGCCGGTGTCTCGGGCTGCCTGCAAGCATGAGCTGCAAAGGGTTTTGCAGAGTTAGAAAAAGTGGTAAACAGCTTCAATAGATTAGAGTATGTAATTTGAAACAAAACTATGCCAACTTGTTCCCTTTCATTAGGTAAACTCTGTACAACTTTTAGAAATGTCAAATAGCTATTATTTGTAAAAGTAACACTCTGATGCATAGTTTTATTGTTGTGGGAAGATAGAAATGATATAATCACATATTTTTGAACAATAAACAAAAATTAAATCATGATAGCAAACAGACAAGAGTTGAAATGATGGGAAGCACATGGTGCAATGTCTGGTCCTGTGAATTATTGTACTGTCACAACTTCGAGCATTGCTCCCACTCAATGTTGTAAAGAGCCTTGAAAATTACAGATCGGTTATCGTGTTAAATAAATTCATTATAAATTTCAATTAAAATAAAGGTTCCATAGGAAGGCTTTGTCCTAGTACACTGACTATAAAAGATACTTTTGCTCAGTATAATTCTTTTTCTGTGCTCCACGGTGTTCATTTATAACAACCTGATGATCATTGGAAATAGGATAAGAATCTAAGGTCATTCTAATGAATTAATTTTAGTTTAGGTCAGTGTATTTTAATACAATAGTTATTTGATGTCCTCCAACCCATACAACACTATAAATATACTAATCATTTGCATACCCATGCATAGCCCAGAAAACCTGAATTTTGCTGAGTTCTAGTTTATGATATACAAAATACTAGCCAACAAAATAGCCCCATGCATATTTCAGGCCACTTTCTGTTCTCTAGTAACCCAGCACACAAAAAAACCTCTAGATTAATTTAAAGCAGCTAATGCACACACTTTTTTGAGTAAAACTGACAGAATTATTGTGAACTTCATTAAAAAAAATCTGAAAAACCTTACTTCAAATTAATAAAACAAATAAATCTTTGATCTTGGAATATGAAATAAAAACTTTTTAAAATACTATTTTAAATAAAGTTTACTTTTTTGTAGTATACAATTTACTATGAATTTCCACATGCATCACTTTGTTACTCTCTTAAAATTGCATAGTATTCTAACTCATTAGATAAGAAACCAGACTTACGAATGCATTCAGACTGTATGCCACTCCAAGTTAAGTTAGCAAGACAAGAACGGGTGGTAGATCCCTGAATATGATAACCTTTTCTGCATCTGAAAAAGACTGTGCTTCCAACCTAAAAATCAAAACAGAATTTTAGATAAAAGAGGTATCCATTATGTGTAGTCAGGTATCAAGACAGTAATGAGCTACTAGATAGATATTTCTCACAAATAAAAAAGTCCTCTTTTTACAGTTTCTAAACTTTTTTTCATGTGATGAGAAGTTTGAGCAATTGATCTTTTGTAACCCCACTAGAAAGCAATAAATGGAAAAATATTGACAAGGCTGTGCACATGGAAAAGAACAACTCTCACATATTTTGGCTTATTAGTTCGTCAGAGTGACAGAAGCAAGTTAAATGACTGAGACGTCTTTCTTTCCCGTACATCACTGCATATATTTCAATAGAGCTTGATCTAAAAAGTCTGTTTCAGAGGTTTCTCATTGTGTGACTTGACTAAAAATGTTTTTTAAGATGAAAAAGAAAAAACTATGAAGAACTGTTTCATCTACAAATAAATTCACTAGAGAAAACTCCAGGCCACCATTCCTAACACTGCATTTGTTACTATAAACTACCCATGTTTTACCTGAGATGTTCAACTAGCTGAGTTATGTTATGGAAATCCTTCCTATGGTCAACTGTGATATGACCTTTCTCAGAAGAAAAGGTAAATGTAAAAATGTAAAAAAGGTAAATGAGAAAACTCTTTAGACTTCCTCTGAGAACATAAAAGTGTGAAAACTAGATACAAAATTGCATGTGCCAAAGAATTTTCCTAAGATAATAGAGAGGGATTTTGTGGAAAGTTCTAGTAGAATGGACTTATTGATGGTATTGACAAAAGTAACCAGAATATAACTCCAGGCCAAGATATTAAAGGATGTGGGGCTGACCAGTAAAGCACTGCTTTCATTTTGGGTAAAACACCTTGGCAATAAACATGATTGGATGAAATGAAAAAAATCCACAAAAATTATTATTATTTGAAATTATATGACTTAATAATAAAGTAGTATATCACATGGACAAATAAAAGAAAGTTGGAAATCAGTAGTGATCAACACATATTAATAAAACAGCTTGTAGGTATATAAATGTAGATAACTCTACATTGCAAATGTCACAAAAGGACTTCAATGGACATTAAAAATGGGCAGTTATCTTCAAAAGTGGCTACCTGGTAACTATAAACTCAGTGTTATGGTTTAATGCAGCAGCCTGCAACTAAGCACTAGAAAGCTGCTTGCTTACCCCTCCCCTTCCCCCATGGCGGGATGGGGAGGAAAAATGGACAAAAGGGGAAACTTGTGGGTTGAAATAAAGACATTTAATAAGGCAACAAAGGAAGTACTCATACTACTACTACTACTAAAAGTAATAATGATAATAATAATTATAATAATGAATTTGCAAAACAAACTATATACAATACAATTTATATCACCATCCAATGACCAATTTGCAGCAAGCCTCTGAGCAGCAATCATGTAACCCCAAAATCACAAATTACACTAAATTTCAAAAAAAGTTAAAATCTCCAAACAAGAGAGGATTTGAACTCATGGAAAAAAGACAGCAAGCTCTCTTCCTGCCCACTGGCCAAACCCCATTCATAAACTCAGCATGACAACTATGGTATGGACTACTTCCATTGGCCACTTTGGGCTAGCTGTCTGGCTGCATTCCCCCCCAGCTCCTGCACACCTGCTCATTTGCTGAATATGAGAAAACAGAAAAAGACCTTGATTTCATAGCAACAACTGAAAACCTCAGTGTTATCAACATTCTTCTTGTACTAAATCCAAAACACAGCAGCTACTGGGAGGAAAATTAACTCTATCTCACCTGAAACCAGGACACTTAGTTACATTAAAACATACTATCACGACAGATATTCAGCAAATGGGACCTTATAAATGCTTATAAATATCTCAAGGGTGAATGTCAGGAGGATGGGGCCAAACTCTTTTCAGTGGTGCCCAGCAACAGGACAAGGAGCAACGGGCACAAACTGAAGCATAAGAAGTTCCATCTGAACACGAGGAAGAACTTCTTCACTCTGAGGGTGATGGAGCACTGGAACAGGCTGCCCCGGGAGGGTGTGGAGTTTCCTT